ATTTGTGTTGTATAAACTTTTGTATGAAATTAATTGAAGCTCCATCGTAATGCTAATTACTGTACTGCTTTATTCTCCTTCCACAAAATAGCCTTCCTGCTAAATAACGTTTCATAAACCACACATTAATTTACTTAATTAAATCAATGCAGCATTTGTAATTACAGCAGAAATTGAATTAAATTGCAGTCGTTAAAAATACAAAAGGAAATGTAGCATAAATCCATTCAATATAAAAACAGAAGCAAATACATTAAAATAATTTATTTTTGTTAATTAATCGAATGACACTAAAAGTCATAAAATAAAATACGACTTGTATTTATTGAAATATATTGTCGCAGTATTATCGCGTTAATATCAATTGCACACCATTGCGTATGAGTAACGCAAAAAAAATTAAACGGAATGAAACACTGCCTAAATCGTTGAAATGCTGAAAAGAAAATCAAAATTTATGACATTGCAAGGCGATGTGATGGTGATATGGAATGCTTCCTGTCCTCCTGTCCTCCCGCTCTCCTGCTCTCTAGTCCTCCCGTAATGAAGCAGGCAATTGCGCGTGTACATAAACTGAAATTTAATACATACTTGTGCGTAGCGTACATTTGTGTAATTATTTGAATTATTATTTGTGTCAGCTTACACAACATGCAATTGTGCATGTAAGCCGTGCATACGTTCAGCTACTACATGCTACATACTTTCCCGACATACCGCCGCACCAGGCGTTACATGCATACACGCAGTAAAATACATCACAAGTGATAGCAAAAGTGTAAATGTGAGTAATGACAATATCACACGTGCTGGGGGAAAAAACTGTAATAAAACTGTAAAAATGAAATTTAATAAAACCAACATGAGAAAAAAAAAAAATGATATTAAATGGAATAAAATACCGTATAAAAATGAAGGAAATATGTGCCTAGAAGCAATGGACTAGCTCCAAATTTTTATGTGGCATTTTTAGTAATGCCATTATTTCTCTAAAATGGACACGTTTCGTTCAAGCAATGAAATTTCGTACTACAAATCAAATTTATTAACCTAAAAGCCTTAACCGAAAGTCAATTAAGCTGCCACTACGAAACAATGGAATGCAATGAATGTGCCACAAATCATTTCAAAAAATTGTAACGCACTTCGTGGTGGTGTGATGGAATGATAGAAGTTTCAAGGATATGTTTATGTAAAAATTTCGTTAGGAAACAATTAGAACAACATAAAGGAGGGTTTATTTGTATACCAATTAAGACATTAAATACACATTCTTGTGATAACATAACTACTTACCCATTGTGAGAATAAAGCGGGGACATTCTTCATTCTTTAAATTAAAAGTGTGTCAGTACATCTTATTGTTATATAAAAAAACTTAATTTCATGAGTAGTATTATAATCTAGTATAAGATTTCTGTTAATAGTTAATAGGTATTGAGAAAGTTTTGAGAGTTTTTAACTTACAAGAGTGTTAACCTATAGAAGTACCGAAAGTGAAGTTAAAAGGAACAATTTAAATGATCCAAAAATGATCTAAAATATTGAATTTTTGGAGCTTTCATAAATACTATTGGATATTGTATAGATAATGAGAAAGTTTTTAACTTATAAGAGTTTTAATTAATTTGTTGATAAATAGCAAACCTATGGAAGTGCCGAAAGTGAAGTTAAAAGGAAGAATTTTAATGATCCAAAAATGATCTAAAATATTGCATTTTTGGAGCTTTTATAAATACCATTGGACAATACGTTGGACAGTGCAATGAGATGAAGCACTGCATCTACAATAGTTCCTTCAACTTTAAATTGTATAAATTGTATAATATATATAATTATGATCTAAAATATTAAATTTTTGGTTCTTTAATAAATATCATTGGACAATAAGTTGGACAGTGCAATGATATGAAGCACTGCATCTGCAATAGTTCCTTCAACTTAAAATTGTATAATAGAAGAGCTATAAAATTATTGGATATCGTATAAGTAAACCAATATTGTTGAATTGAAATAAACCATTTTTAATTGGATTTGGAGTAAACATATAAGTTTCATTCATTGTATTGAATTCTTAATGGCAGCAATTAACATTCCATTATTCTAAACTCATTGAAAAGTCGATATGATATGAATAACATATTTTAAGACATGGTTAACAAACCATTTAGTCAGGAACAAAATTCAACTCAAGCTGAAAGTTCTCAAAATCATTATTGATGTTTCGAGAGAGCCGTAATTATTCCTGTGATGTTGTATGTTTCTATGTTCTACGTTTTTCCTAACCAGTTTACATATCGTTGTTTAGCGAGGTAAAGATATTCAATAGTTTATTATGGATTCATTATTTGTGACAGATTATTGTTTATTTTAAGTATCTCAAACGTTTGCTTAATTAGTCCGAAGCTGTCATCTAGTAAATTAGTAGAATTTTAATCCGGTAGTCTAGTAAAACTGTAATCTGGCTTTAAGTTACAATTTTTTTTCCTTTTAACATCGTTAAATTGAATCAGTTTTCGCAAAGGATTTGAATAAGTTTTTATAATTATTTTTTAGAGTACTTACGAGTATTGTTGTCATTTTAGCTACATAATAAATAGATTATATAAACAATTAATTAACATTTTATTTTAAAATATTGGAGGATCTATGTGAATATATATTAAAGTCCATAGTTTAGTTTTGGATGGGTGAAAAGGAAGAAATTTTTTATTTAAATCACGACTACTTTATTCAAAAAATATTGTCGTTTGCCAATTCCAGTATTTTTAACAGAGTCATACTACGATTAGTCCCTATAAAAAAATCTCACATCATCACAGTTTATGGTATTTATTTTATATGATAGTAAATTGATGTTGAGTGGAGTATTTCGTTAGTGATTAAAGTTTTTGTGAAAAACTTCCGAAATAAATTTGAATGTTTTTGGGAACAAAAAAAAAAAAATTTAGTAAAACTAAACTCTACCCAACCCAGAAGCAGATTTGAAGTGCAATTATACTTGGTTTAATGACATGGCAGGCAAAAGCAATTGCATCCATCATAAACTTTATAATTTTGGTTTTTATGACTCCAAAGCCAAATTCATAAAAACTTCTTCAAAATTCGTATAATATTTAAGCAATAAAAATATTTTAATGTGCCACCTACAAGCAGAGTGTTGAAGTGAGAATCGCATTATTAAGTAAAGCTCCATTCTCACTTACCACAATCCGAAATCCAAAATCGCTACGACTGCAGAAAACCTAAACCTAAACCTAAACATTGTACATGCTCCATATTTATTGCGCAAGATAAGGGAGTCGAAGGATATATGTATGCTTTAACTTATATATGGGAGTAAAATAAATATGGGAATAAAAAAGAAAAAATATTTAACCAATAAATCGTTGGTATCCTTTGTGTGTATATTGAATGATATGTAGCGTTCTTAGCTATCGAAAAGAAAATTGTAATGCCAAAGCGCACATTCGCTCATACATGAATTTTCGGCTATAAAAATTATTTATTAACGTTTCGTCATTGCTGGTGCGTTTTACTGTGGAACGATCGAATAAAAATTACACTTCACTGTTGCTAGCGTTCATTTCTAGGATCCAAATCCGTTTTAGTAATGCTACCTGATGCTTATACCTAAGAAAAATTGCGGTACCGTAAATGGTAATGGAGTTCAGTAGGTACGCTTAACAACAGGTTCCCTTTATATTCGCGGCGATTTATCGCCTAAGCTACCTTTTCGTTTCGATTCCTTTGTATTAAAAACATTCGATGTTTAAGGATATGTATAAAAATCAACGATTTCATACGCTGAACGTGCTTTAAATTTAAAAGCCACTTTATGATCATAAAAATTCAATTGCGGTTTTTCAATTTGATTATTGTAAGGGGATTTTTATTATTTTTATTATTTTTATTATTCATAATAAAAAATTAAAAACCGAATTTATTTTACATACTAAACTGTTGAGTGTATATTAAAATAAATTTGCTATAATATTTCGTTTACAGACGGGTTGTAGTGGAAACATATAATATATGCAAACCATATGAAATAAATAAAAATAAAACTCAAATGTTTATGCTAATTTGTTTAAAACTACAAATGGTTAGAAAGATACAATATCTATATATGATACAGTAGTAGACAACGGTATGGTGAATAATGTTTTACACGAAGGTTTTTGAAAGAGTTTAGTGGCAAACTTTGTCCTAAAGTAGTTGGTGTTCGGTATCATATAGTACTTTCATAAATAAATAAGTATTTCATTTTAAATATTCTTTTTTTCATATGTATAGTACTATCTTAATTATGTTTTAATTTATAACTATTGTTTAGGTGCACTTGATAGATATTATGAAAGACGTATGCAGGACTACTGAACCAATGTTCTTTCATAAAAATAAATCATAATATATTATTATCTATATTAACTCATCAGGTTTTACTTGCTATAGCCTTCTCAGTTCATTGTTAATATACAGAAGTTGAATAGCTTCTACATTGTTGTAATTGAGTAGTCGTTTTTTATGCCTTTCAGCTACTTCTTATGTGCCTCCTTTGACCCCCATAACTTTTAATTCTTTCTGTATTTCTTAGTTTGTTACATATAGATATGCATTTCTAATCATCCGTAAACGTTTGTTTGATTTCGCTGTATTATGTCTGGGTCCCATAGCTGTATGTTATACATCCAAATCAGTTTCATGACAGATAGATAAATTAGCCTTTTATAAAATAGGTAAAGTTGGGAACCATGTCCCATTAACCATTTCATTAATACATTCATCAATACATTTGTCGACATTAGTACTTGATTTGGTAAGATGTCTGTTCGACATGATGTTTCCAATTTAGTCTGTTATTTAGATGTAACCCAAGGCATTTTGCTGAGTTTGCCTGTGTAAGTATTATACTATTTAGATATGTATATAAATTCTTGAGTGTACGGCCAGTGTGTTACATTCACACGTATTGAAACCTTTTTTTCATATCAGTGAAATTAATCGATTATAAAAAGAAATGGTTTTTCTGAGGTTACGGTACCATCCGTATAGTTAAGAGATCTGGTGAAAAAGTAGGTCCTTTTTTCACATGAACCAGTTACTTCGCAATTTTCTCCTTCAACTACACCAGTTGTGGCAACTATCGTTGTTGATAGTCGGGGCTTTTTCAAGATAGCCGATGAACAAAATTTCATCCGTACACCAAAATACGGATGTTGTTCTATGGATTTCTCAGCCGAGGTGTTATTGTCTATTTAGTATATTTTTACAAATCTTGATTATTAATTGAGTTTAATTTTTAAATGCAAGTATTATGAAAGACTTTGTTTTCTTAATACCTATGAGGGGTTTTGAATAATCGTGAATTAAAATAAAAGAATATTATTTTACATTAAATAAATTTTTTGACCAACCAAACATCTAATTAAGTATTGCTGAGTATCTTTTTCAGCCGCCTTTGATAATATTAGTTAACAATAAGTGTTGAACCTATTAAATTAGTTATAATGAATGAAAAGTTTAAACCTAACCTGCCACAACTGCTTAAAATTTGCGCTGTTCAAAATTTTTTTTTACTTTTTCTTGATTTCTTAGAAGATATATATCTTATATATTTATTATGATTTACATCAATTCGCTTAATTGATTTATGCATAATTTTTCGGTAGTTAAATTAAAATCATTTTCATCCATATAACTTCTTGTTTGTGACTACATTGAAATCACTAGTTCTATCTGCCTGTATCTATATGCTTTAAAAATTTTGAAGTAATACAGCAGCATACAATCCTTCAAAAGGATGTAAGGAAAGCATGATTTTCTTCCAACTTGAAGCAAACTAAATATTTTGGAGGCATATAAATCATATACGACAAGAGACGTTAAGGGTTCGGCACGACAATGACATGAAAGTTTATATAGAAACAAACTGACTTTTAAGCTTCAAGGCTTCGAGGATTTGTTTGGATGAATAATATGTCTCCTTTTGTACTCAAAAGTGTCAATTTAGTTTGTTGCAGTTTGGAAGAAGCAGTGGAACCAATTGAATTTTTATGCTGTTTCACGCTAAATTTTTTGACATTAAAGTTACAACAACCCAAGAGAGCAGCGACTGCAGCTGCACTCATTGATATGCAACACCTACATTGTGCTTTTTATGTTGCAGTAAACATACTGCAATCGTTTTAACACGACAAATGCAAACAAAACGTGCCACGGCACACATGCACATCGATGCATGATTGCATTGCATCTCAGGCACATCAGCAAAGGCGCACACAAGGATGCATTTTCTAATTTAAGGAGTCGCCTGTGTAAGCGTAAGTTTGCATGTGGCGACAAAATGTAAACTTTAAGCTCTTGCCGAGAAGGGAATATGCCGCCAGCATTGACAAGAAGTCACACAGTCTTTTGCAGTATTTTAGATACTTAAATTTATATTGTTCGTGTGATTGTGTCTTCAGATATTTGCTAACAGAAATGATCAAATTTTGCTGAAAACACTTTACGCAAGAAAGGCTTAAGCAACTTGCAGCAAAGATTCACTTTAAACTTTTTTATTTTAAGTAATATCTTAGCAAACTGAAAATGCATTTTTGATGACAAAAAAAAATGATATGAAATAAAAACAAATTTTTAGCGAAAATAAAAATCAATCCTGAGGATATAAAATTGTTTTAGAAAGAAACTTACAATGAATATGGGAAGAAAAAACTTCGTGTGCCGTTAAGTGTTTTCGAAAAAGATTTCACAACAAAATGACTAAAAGCCTGTGAACGAATGCATCGTGTGTAACTCACACGATTTTTTTGTTATTTTTTTTTTTTTTACTATGAAACATTGTTGCACATGCATTTCTCTTACGTAACTTAAATCGCCTAAAGTAGTTTTGGCTCCATGGAACTCTTTCACACTTTATGCAACTATAGTACTGGGCTTAAATTTTGCATTACTTTCGAAAGTGTGTCGCAAAGCACGAGTCCTAACTTTGTAGACTTGAAACTTAATTATAACTTCGCAGTGAAGTGTTAAGTGCAAGTGCTTTTAAGAGTATTTTTCAGTAGGGTTTGAACTAACATCTGAGATTTAAGAGGTATCAGTTGTCAGCAAAAAATCCATCAAAAAGTTTTTTAATATCAAAAAATTTTGAATTTTTTTACAGAGCTCAGTTGTCACTTTTTAAACGCCATAATGCGGTCTCTTTGTGGGTTATGTGAAGCCATTTTTATTCTTGTTAATGTCAAAATTGTGTCACAGAAAATATACTAAAAAAAAGATAAAATGTAGCAATAAGAAGACACATCTTCTGCAGTGGTACGATTAAAAACTAACATACCTGAACCTCACTTCATCTTAATAGATGAAGAGAGTTGAACACTTGTAGACAGACCAAACTCTTGTTGTCAAAACCTTGGATCAGGGAAGCGATAAAAGTGTTTAGCTATCCGCAGAGCACCCTTAGCTGGCTGACTTCACTAATTACTGAACATGGCAACTTCAGGTATCACTTCAAAAAGCTAAGACATTTGCAGACTATGTCTAGAAGAAAAGGAGACAGCGGTGCATATATTGTGCCATTGTCCAGCACTGGCCAATGGCCAGAGAATCGAAGGACGAAAAAAGACCCAAGTAGTTTCGTGGTCTAGTTCGGTTAATCCTTCACTTCTATGTGGCCACTTTTTGGACGATGCGCTGTCCCAACGTCCCACTATATACATAATAAAAATTTAATTACAACTTAAACTCAAATAGAGCTTATCAATTATCCTTAACAAAATTAATGTCAACACTATATCTTGTAATTAATAACATGAATACTTCAAAAGTAATATACACTACAATTAATTACTTCCAGTCAATGGAATTGTGCATCAATTAGAATGAATTGCCTTAAAAACTGGGAACCATATTTAAGACATCCAAGAATTCTGAAAAATATTTGAGACATCCTATAAACAATCGACTATAATAAGTCATAAAACACATAAGTCGAAAAATAGACCCGATGTCCCTGGTATTCCAAAGAATGTTCTAGATATCTCATAAGCAATGAACTATAAGATAACCCAAAAAAACCATATTTTTGGTATTTTAATGAATGTTCCAGCTATTCCAAAAAAAATTGACTTTAACATTGTTCAAAAGAGTGTACTGAAAAAAAAGAAGAAAAAAAAAAGAAGAAAAAGAAGAAAGAAAAAATAGAACAGTAGAACAAACAACGAAATTGAAGACCTGCTTAAAAATGAAAATATAGAAAGATTTGTCAAAGCACAAAGACTGTAGTGCTCGACGGCAGTTCGCGTCGTAAGAATAAGACCTGAAAGACATCCGGCTAACACATTTAATGCTAATTCGATAATAACAAGGCTTAGAGGCAGACCGAAGCTAAGATGGAAGGAAAACGTATACGAGGACGCCAGAAAGCTCGGAGTTCTGAAATGAAAAGAAACTCCACGAAGATCGTAACAGACGGAGGCAGGTTCTGAAGGGGGACAAGGTTCACACTGGATTATAGCGCCACATAAGAAGAAGAAGATTTCACAAGAGATTGAATATCTTATAAGTTGAAAAATGAAAACTATGTTTCTGATATTATAAAGAATATTCCAGATATCAAACAATCAATCGATTATAACAAAACTTAAGAAATAGAAACCATTTCTCTAGTATTCTAAATAATGTTCCAGATGTCTCACAAAAAATTGAATTTCACTTTGCTTGAAAAATGTGACACATATGTTAAATTATTGACTTACTCCAATAAACCAAACATTTATTCAAAAATCGAATGCTATATGGTATATGGAAAATTATAGCAACTACGACGATATTACTTCTTTGCTTTAGAATATTGAGACTGTAGTTCAGATAACTGTATGCAAAGTTATATATTGGAAATTGGTTTCTTACTAAATTTCTCATTGTTTAAAGTATAGGTATTAATTCCAAAAAGATTTTATTAAAAAAAGTGCTATTATGAAGCTTTTAACTGCTGTACATTTTAGTTAGAAATGCAAATATAATTATAAGAACTATATAAAGAACATAGATCAAATTATTGCTTGTGATGTTTTTAATACATATTTATTTATTTTTTACTATTGGTTTCAACACTCCTTGCATCATGTTCGGTTAAAGACTATTTATTTACAGGACAGTAGTTAAAAGTTTAATATAATCGTAATTATAAATTAGTTAATTTACATGTTTTTATAATAACTATTGCTATGTGTAGAAATGTAGATTATGACAAACAAATTTGAATATTAAATAGATCTTTGGAAATGTATAAATCTGTACAGTAATCGCTAGATAGAATATCTGATGATACATCAACATGTTTCAGATGTCGTATTAAAAATTTTATGAAAGATTGTTATTATAATCATGTTTAAACATTTTAATTAAATATCATCCAATTAAGTTATTCATTACATATATTGTATTCAGATGGAAGAAAGTAGTAATTTGATCAAGCTGTGTATATAAATACTTAATATTAACATTGTTATTTTTGTTGTTTCAACTATAATTCCTTGCATTCAGTGTTTCACCCTTCATAGATGCTTAGCCTATAAACTGAAATAGATCTTCTTTCTTAACTATTGTTATTACTAGTATATGTTTTAAATAATATTATGTATTGCTTTAACTTTTATTTTTTTTATTTCTTAGTCAGCTTTCGAACACTAGTGAATAGCAACAACAAAATTTTATTATTTTTATATAATTGAATTAATTCATTCATTCATTTCCATTAATTTATCAGCATCATCAATTCCTACATATTCGATTGGAGCATAATGGCTCAATAAAGTATTTCCATTTGGTTCTGCTTTTCATCAACATCTTTAGCTCGTTTCATGTTTCTTCGAACTCCTTTTGTAGTGATCTTCTTTATGTGGTTTTAGGACGTCCTGTTTTACTACTACCTTGGGGATTCCAAACAACAGCTTGTCGATAAATTTCCGTGGCGTCCTTTCGTAATGTGTGACCTAGCCACTACCATTTAGGTAGTTTTATTTAAATGGCCATTGGTTCCAATATTCATATTTCATATAAATCGGAGTTGCTGTTGACTTTTGGTCACCACACCTTGAAAATACATCGAAGACATCTATTCACGAAACTTTGAATTTTTCTAATAAGAAATAATTTATTGAGACTATCAGGGGAAAGTATCAGGGGTTAAACTTGTGCTCTGCCAAATTTATAGATCAGAGTCAGTGTTCATTGGCCAACTGAACCAAA